TCACAGTTCTGGAGGCTGGACGTCCAAAAACAAGGTGTCCGTAGGGCCACGCTCCCTCCAAAGGTCCTCAGGGACACTTCCCTTGCCACTTGCAGCTCTCCTGGTGGCTCAGGTGTTCCTCGGCTGGTGGGCTAGTGGCTGTGGCCCTCTCTGTCCTCTAGGTCTCAAATTTCCCCCTCCTTTCTCTCCTGAGAACACCTGTCATTGGATCCCCGCTGCCCTCATTCTTGAGATCCTTAACTTCATTACGTTTGCAAAAATGCTTTTTTCCAAACAAGGTCACATTCATCTGGTCCAGGGGTTAGGATGGGGACTCAGCGTCTGGGGGCTACTGCTCAACTCATTACACTCATCCTAATTAGCAGTAAGGTTTCCCCTGAGTACCAACATGTCCAGGCTTCTTTAGGGATACATGTGTTAACTGGGTTTAGATACAGGCTAGAGAGGTGACCTTCAGAGACAGAGGAATCTCAGGGTGACGGCCCGCAGGCTGGAGGGAAGGGCGGGGCGGGGTCTGTATGGCCCAGACGCTGTCCTTGAGTGGGAACCTCTGACTTGTGTCACTCAGGGAGCCAATTGCTTCAGAAACGGGACATTGTCTTGCTGATCTCTTGCATTCTCCAGGATCCTAGCAGGGTGGGAGCCTGTAAATGCAGAAGGAAGGGCCGAGTCAGTCTTGAGCGGAGGCAGTGGTGCAGATGGATTAGCAAGATACTCAGACCCCACCAGCCACCAGCCACTCAGCCCTCTCTGTGTGTTAGGGGCTCTGTGCATCCTGGGGACACAGAGTGAATGAGGCCCCAGCCCTGCCATTGTCCTGGAAGCCGTGCTAGCAGATTCCCACCCCCCATCCTTGGCCGTGCTGCCCCTCCCTCCCCTGAGGACCTTTTGAAGGGCACTGTATCTTAATCCCTTCTTTGGGGGGGGGGGGGAAGGTTTTTTTTTTTATTATGTTAATCACTTACATCATTAGTTTTTGATGTAGTGTTCCATGATTCATTGTTTGCATGTAACACCCAGTGCTCCATGCAATACGTGCCCTCTTTAATACCCATCACCAGGCTAACCCATCTCCCCACCGCCCTCCCCTCTAGAACCCTCAGTTTGTTTCTCAGAGTCCATCGTCTCTTATGGTTTGTCTCCCCCTCCAATTTCCCCCCCTTCATTCTTCCCTTCCTGCTATCTTTTTTTTTTAACATATAATGTATTATTTGTTTTAGGGGTACAGGTCTGTGATTCAACTGTTTTACACAATTCACAGCGCTCACCATAGCACATACCCTCCCCAATGTCTATCACCCAGCCACCCCATCCCTCCCACCCCCCCACCACTCCAGCAACCCTCAGTTTGTTTCCTAGATTAAGAATTCCTCATATCAGTGAGGTCATATGACACATGTCTTTCTCTGTTTGACTTATTTCGCTCAGCATAATACCCTCCAGTTCCATCCACGTTGTTGCAAATGGCAAGATTTCATTCCTTTTGATGGCTGCATAATATTCCATTATGAAGATTCACATCTTCTTTATCCATTCATCTGTTGATGAACATCTTGGCTCTTTCCATAGTTTGGCTATTATGGACATTGCTGCTGTAAACATCGGGGTGCATGTACCCCTTCGGATCCCTACATTTGTATCTTTGGGGTAAATACCCAGTAGTGCAATTGCTGGATCATATGGTAGCTCTATTTTCAACTTTCTGAAGAACCTCCATACTGTTTTCCAGAGTGGCTGCACCAGCTTGCATTCCCACCAGCAGTGTAGGAGGGTTCCCCTTTCTCCGCATCCTCACCAAAATCTGTCGTTTCCTGACTTGTTATTTTTAGCCATTCTGACTGGTGTGAGGTGGTATCTCATTGAGGTTTTGATTTGGATTTCCCTGATGCTGAGCAATGTTGAGCACTTTTTCATGTGTCTGTTGGCCATTTGGATGTCTTCTTTGGAAAAATGTCTATTCATGTCTTCTGCCCATTTCTTGATTGGATCATTGGTTCTTTGGGTGTTGAGTTTGATAAGTTCTTTATAAATTTTGGGTACTAGCCCTTTATCTGATATGTCATTTGCAAATGAAAATGAAAACACAACTGTTCAAAATCTTTGGGATGCAGCAAAGGCAGCCCTAAGAGGGAAGTATATAGCAATACAAGCCTTTCTCAAGAAACAAGAAAGGTCTCAAATACACAGCCTAACCCTACACCTAAAGGAGCTGGAGAAAGGACAGACAATAAAACCTAAACCCAGCAGGAGAGGAGAAATAATAAAGATCAGAGCAGAAATCAATGAAATAGAAACCAAAAGAACAGTAGAACAGATCAACAAAACTAGGAGCTGGTTCTTTGAAAGAATTAATAAGATTGATAAACCCCTGGCCAGACTTATCAAAAAGAAAAGAGAAATGACCCAAATCAATAAAATCATGAATGAAAGAGGAGAGATCACAACCAACACCAAAGAAATACAAACAATTATAAGAACATATGAGCAACTCTATGCCAGCAAATTAGATAACCTGGAAGAAATGGATGCATTCCTAGAGATGTATCAACTACCAAAACTGAGCCAGGATGAAATAGAAAACCTGAACAGACCTATAACCACTAAGGAAATTGAAGCAGTCATCAAAAATCTCCCAACAAACAAAAGCCCAGGGCCAGATGGCTTCCCAGGGGAATTCTACCAAACATTTAAGGAAGAATTAATACCAATTCTTCTGAAACTGTTCCAAAAAATAGAAATGGAAGGAAAACTTCCAAAACTCGTTTTATGAGGCCACCATTACCTTGATCCCAAAACCAGACAAAGACCCCATCTTAATCCCTTCTTGAGGGGCCCCTAGGATCTGGGCTCTAGGACGGTGGGCAGAAGGGAGGCGGTTAACCAAAGTGATCCCCTGTGTGCTGATGGGGTGCCTGCTTGGATGAGAGGCTTACCTGATGGTTTTCACACTCCTTTTAAGAGGGCATAGGGAGCCAGCACGCCAAGGCCCAAAGAGAAACGTTGTGGAGACAGCCTCTGGGTGTGGCTCTCCTATAGCTCTGCACATAGTCGATGGCCCCAAGGGCCAAAGAGGACGAGATGCCCAGACAGAGGGAACCTGGGGGATGGCGTTGTTGGGCCCCCTGTTTGGTGTGTGGTAATAAAGCACATATCCTAATGAAGACCATGGCTGCCATTTGTGTGCTGGTCCCAGCCCTCTGTTTTGCTGGAAGTTGTTTGAGAGTAGCAAGTGGCCATTTCCGTTCCTCTCCCTAGGAATGTTCTAGACCCTGCAGGAGCAATGATGGAGGAGCTCAGGGTATCAGCTGCCTGTTCTCTGAAGTTCCTCAGAGACGGTGGTGGGAAAGCCAGAAGGGAGATACACGGAAGGGACTGGAGAGATTCTCTCTCTACCCTGGGTTTCCAGGACCCAAACTTGACACAGAAGCACGAAGAGGAAACACCTGTTTTTTTTTTTGTTTTTTTTTTTTTTACTTATTGACGGGAAAGCCTATCCTAATACAAAGTAGCCATTCTGATTTTCGTGTTCCTGTTGGGCCCAGGTTTGCGTGGGGCCAGGTTCATGTCTCTGGGGACAGTAGCATCTTGGTCAATTTGAGCTGCTATTACAAAGGACAGACTGGGAGCCTTATCAACAACAGGAATGTATTTTTCACCATTCTGGAGGCTGGAAGTCCAAGGTCAGGGTGCCGGTATGGTCGGGGTTTCGGTGAAGGCCCCCTTCCCATGTAGAAAGGTTTCCACTGTGTCCTCCCACAGCAGAAAGCAGAGAGAGAAAGCTCACTCTCTCTGTTGTCTTTCCTGAGGGCACTAATCCCATGCAAGAGGCCGCCACCCCCATGACCTACTCGCCTCCCCAAGGCCGCACCTCCTGACACCATCACATTGGGTTAGGATTTCAACATATGAATGGGGGGTGGAACACAACCTTTAGTTCATAGCAGGGAGCCTTGCAAATCCCGATTGGGGCTGCAACCTGAGGGGTGGTCAGTCTCACCACCGTAATCCACAGGTGCAAAGCTCGAGGCACAGAGTGGGGAAGGGGCTTCCCAGGATGCCACATAAGTTCATCAGTGCAGAGTCCGGTCTGCTGTCTCCCCATCGGGCTATCTGCACCTGCTGCATGTGTGTTCCCTCATGGTGTTCGTGCGGTCCTGTGAGCGGGTCTGTGTGTTAAAGCAGTGCTTACTGAGTGGGGTCACAGATGGGGCAGCGTCCTGGAACCCTGCCCCAAGTGGGAGGAGAAGAAAGCGAGGGGCGGGAGGGTAGTGAGAGCAACTCAGGATGCTGAGCAGCGGTTGCCTGCCACAATTCTTCAGTACAGCTTGTCTAGCAAAGCCGGTCTCCAGCCGAGTAAATACAGTGGATGGCTGACGGGCTGACAGCAGGCATCAAACAGTCTTAAACTGCCCCAGATCCGCAGCGCTTTGGAAGCAGCGGTAGAAAAAGGAAGCCTGCGTAGAACAGAGGCCTGAAACTTTTAATAGTTTCTTCCAGGCCTCAGGATGTCCTGATGAGGTATTAGAGGAAGTAATTCAGGAAGAAAAGGACAAATAACCGCCTCCGTCTGGAGGCCGACCCCGAGGGCTGGCCATTCCAGCGCGGAAAGGGCACGCGTGGCCCTGCGGTGATCCCCGCCGCCACTCAGGGTGGCCCGCCCGCCTGCCTCTGCGCAGAGAGCCGCTGGGCTCTGACCCTTGTAAATAACAGACAAGTAAATTTCTTGTTTGCTTCGGGGCAGATGTAAGCCATACAGCGCCCACTGCATGTGGGTGAAATCATTAACTTTTCCTCACTGTCGGAAGGGTGCTCGGTACAAATTAGAAATCATTGCCTCAACCTGGAGGCCCTTCCCAGGGATCCGGCCCCCTACCCTCAGATCAGGAGCCTGTCACTGCTGCAGGACATCAAAGAAAAACATGTGGCCAGCCAGAACTGAACTCACCACCCCCTCTGTTTTTTGTGTTTTTTTTGTTTTTTTGTTTTCCTTTTTCCTGTAGGGTTTGGCTTTGTCACGTTTGAGAATGAAGATGTTGTGGAGAAAGTCTGTGAGATTCATTTCCATGAAATCAATAATAAAATGGTAAGTTTGTAGGGGTCGCGCTGCGGTGCATGCAATGCCCCCCCTCCCCTTGGTGTGCACAGCTTTGTCTTACAGACTTCCAAAGCCCGCGTCAGCACACGAGAGGCTGGGCAGGGTGGGCACCGGGACGAGACTCTAAGGGTTCGGTCCCATGGACGGCAAGTGTTGACAGACTCTCAGGGAAGGGCTGAGTCATAAATATTCTCAGCTTCGCAGGCCACGCAGCTGACGATCACGGCCTCTCAAAGCCGCGGCGGAAGCGTGCGCAGACAATCCCGTGCAAATACGGCTGTGGTTCCGTAAAGCTGTGTGGATGGACGCTGACACTGAAATCTCATGTCACAAAATATTTATCTATTTATATTTTTACCATTTGAAAGTACAAAAACCATTCTTGACTCTTGGGCTGTACATGTACATAAGCCAGCAGGGGAACCACATTTGGCCTGGGTGTTATAATTCGCTGACCTGCGGCTTAGGACATGAGTTTGCTGTTTGGTTTGGCTTTTTGAGGAATATTTCCTAGGTAGGAAGTTTACCACCCAAATTCATTCTGCATTTGGGCCCTGCTGGGTAATTAACATTCTCCCCCTCCGATCAACTAGCTGGTTTTACCCGAATGAGCACCCTCTTCCATCCCCCCATTTGGCTCTTGAAAGCTCCTTTTTCTGGGAAGACCCCCACAACAGGGAGGAGGTTGGATCATTGCAAGCTGGGGGAGCCAGGTAGGCTTCCCAGAGAAGTGGCCACCAGAGGGCGCCATACCATGAACACAGCGTGCACATTGGCTTGCTGGAGGTCTCCCAACTCCTTCAAATTGAGTCGGTGGGGGAGAAACCCCTTCCTTGTTGGTTCCAGAAATATCGGAGCTCAGCAGGTGTTTCGGGAGCCATCAGCAGGCCCTTTGGGGCCAAAATATTTGGCCAGCAGAGCCTCCAGCCCCATGAGAAAGGGAGGGCAAATTTGTGTTTCAATTGTAGCTGTTAACTTTGGTATTTTCTCCCTTTAGTCAAAACATTCCCAGCTTCTGAAACATGCGTTCATATGTGCATTGTATATTGGTTTGATACTTGTTCACTGACTTTAAATTCAATAACAGAGCTTTTAGTGGGGATAAGATCAAAGCAGTCTGCTTAGCATGTGGTGCTACAGGCCTGATTCAATATTTGACTTGCTAATTTTTTCCCAGGGCACTAAAATAATATTGTTCATATTGTTCCTAGCCATCATATGCATCTGAAATGAAAATGCTGTTTCTTTGCATACTGTAGGTTGGAGGTGTCAGCTCAGGCATTAAAATGGTACCAGGGAGATAAGTGTGTAGGAATAACACAGGACCCCTTCATCAGCATTCTCTGCACTGTCCACCGTCCCCTTCCCCGCCCCCCAACTCAGTGCCTTCCAGTTGGTACTTCTCTCTTTTGGTAGATTGCTACTTGCTATTTTTAAAACTAGGGAGACAGGGGGCTTAAAAGGAAACAAGCACAGTGCCTGGAGGCCTTGTTTCTCCTAGCCAGGCGTGCTGCTGACAGGCTCCACTGAGGGCTGCCCGGGCATCGGAGAGTGAAAGAGGCCTCTGAGAGCACCGGCAGACACCATTCCCGTCCTGCCAGGACTTAACGGTTCATCAGGAAGTCCCAGTGCAGACGGGCGAGAGACTGTGCTGTGTGCGGCCTCGAATCCATACGTGCAGCCCTTCGCTACAGACTGGCTTTGACACAAGCCTTAAGCACAAGTGACAAAGAGCTTTATTCTCCTCGGGGGTCCAGTGGGGAAACTGAGGCCCAGGGGAATCTGCCCCAGGGCTCCCCAGGCAGTAAAGGAACCGAGGTCTTGAGCTTCCTGGCTCATCTGATGAACAACACAGACCATTGTTTTGAGCTTGGGGGCTGCAAGGGTGAATCCCCAGATGACATAGGGGGACCATCAGAAGGTAGAGTTCAGCCCCAGAAAGATGATAACCCATGGATGGGCTGGCTTGAAGCCAGAGAGGTTTGTGGCCATGGTCCCCAGTCATTTCACAATTGTCACCTTCTTTTCCGCCAGCTGGAGGCTGACAGGGGCACATGCAGGTAACTGTGTTCATAGTGGCAGGGTTTCTGATTTCTTTTGAATCGGGGGCTGGTACTTGTTCTTTAAAGGTATAGCAACAGTGGAAGTAGACAAGAGGAAGGGGTGAGCGCGGAGTGGTGAGGATCACACACAGGCTTTGGAGGTGTCCCTGCATGTGCTCTGCCCTGACCCACCAGTCACCAGCTCTGAAGGGGAAATTCCAGGTACTGGAAGAGGCCATTGGAAGGTCACCAGGCCTCACCAAGCTCCAGGATAACGGGGCCCGTGGTGACCACCTGGTGGGGCCCCTGGGCCTCGGGGGGAGGTACCAGCAGCAAAGGCCAAGCACCTTGATAACCATGAGCTTGACCGTGAGCTCTTGCCATCGGCCGTGTCGTCGTCACAGAAAGGGCCTCTCCAGCACGCCGTCCTCCTCTGAAGAAGTCGGAATTGCTGAGGATTCCGTGATACTGGTTTCAACTTCTGAGGCCCACAGAAAAGGAAATGGATTTAACCTGTGCTATGGACAGAATTCAAATGAAGGATTGGAAAGACTCTGAGAACGCAGAGACTGCCAAGCAGAAACCCGGACGGTTGTTAGAAGGTCTGGGGGAGTGTTTTGTAAACTGGACTGCTTGTGAAGCTGTAAAGACCCGTCTCCTGGAGGCTTGGCAATCTCGCGAATTCTGCAGGGACAGATCACTGTGCTGCCCCTGAATGTGCCTGGAGCGACCGTTTTCTCATATTCACAGATAAGAAAGGCCTGGCCCCCGATGAGTCACGAAGACAGGACTTGAATCCAGATCTTCTCCGTCTTAATCCAGTACTCCTCTGGCTGGCACTGAGTGGGCCCTGGGTAAATAATTGTGGAATGAATAAAGGATTACATGAGGGACCATGTGACAGAGAGGTGCATCATAATTCCCAAAGCCATTTCCCGTCTAATTTGGTTGGTGAATCTCTTGGGCATTTAAAAGGCCCTTCCCCAGCATCCAAGAGAGCCCGCAGCAGACACCAGCCCTTCTGCCTGCCGGGGCTCTGGGTAGCTGCCCTCAGGAAACTGGAATCACCACAGCCCTGCCCCCATTCCCATATAGACCCTCCCTTAAGGAGGTCACCTCCATGGTGATGGTGGCGGCAGGGGGGAGGGCCACAAAAGACCCCCCTGGCACCCTCCTACAGAGATCCCACGAATAGCTCACAGTTTTTAGTGCCAACTACATACTCTGCTGAGAGCTCGCTATATGCATCTCTTTCTTCTATCACACACACTCTGATATAGGTACTGATTATTGTCCCCCATTTTACTGATAAGCAAGTGAGGCAGAGAGAACTTAAGCAATTTGCCCAGGGCCAAACATTCAGCAATGGGCAGCACCAGAGCTCACATTTGTATCCAGGAAGCCAGCACCCCTTCGAGGCTGGAAGGGACTTGAAAGGTCATGTCGCTGGGCCACAGCCTTCCAAGACCGCTGACCCCCCCCTCCCCCAGTCGGCTGTGTCATGGCCCGTGGGGCTCCCATGTTCTCCTAAGAGAAGAGCAGAGAAGATGGGCTCACTCGGGGCCAGATTCCCGGCTGGGGCAAAGGGCCAAGCTTGGGCAGAAGGGGTCCCCGTCGGCCATGACAGATTCCCTGGCCTCTCCCCCAGAGGCAGGTGAGCCACAGGTAAGGGGGGCAGCTGGCCGCCACCTGAGCTCGGGGCCCAAGCCGGGAGAGCCAGGACTCAGCCCCTTCCCCCATCTTGGTGCGGGTCATTGTGAGGCGCAAACGGGGCTCCTTATTAATAAACACACAGAAATGCAGCTGCAGAGCCATCTGGGGACTCTCCAGAGAGGGCCTCCTCTCTGGCCACTCTGCGAGCCCCAGCGCGGGCCCCTGATTGAAGCAGCCCCCCCCCCCCCCCCAGCAGCAGGGATGCGGGCTTGATGAGCCACCAGCTGGCACAGCCTCCCGCCAGCTCGCAGCCCCGGGGAGGGAGGCGGGAGTGACACCGACCTGCTCCGGGCCTCCAACGAGGCCTGGTTTCGTCCCCACCTCAGATGGAGTTGGGGAGAGCCTCGCTGGTGGAGAACGTGGGGTGCGGCCTGAGGGGTGCCCGAACAGGGGCACCTCCTCTGACCCCTGACTCAACAGTAGGACGTTGGCCTTCACGTGCACGTGGTCATCGCCCCGTTTTACAGAGCGGGCTCTCGAGCTCAGAGCAGTGAAGGGACTTCCACAGTCCACGGTTCTAAGTGGCAGAGCTGGGATTTGAACCGGTGGTGTTCTGGCTCCAACCCAGTGTTCTTCCCACTCTACCCTGCTGCCACCTTAGGCAAAACCTCACTAACTGAAAAACCTGGGTTGGTGTGACTGATGAAGATAGAGTTTTTATTTGCTTTGTACAAGGATTTCTATAGGACTCCTTTAAATAGTCCTTTTCCTTGTTCCATTGAGGTGATCTGATTTTTGAAATTTGCTGAGCATTTTGCAAGCTCGTTAGGAATGCAGAGTCTCGGGCCCCACCCCCAGAGCTAGTGAATCAGAATCTGCATTTTGACAAGTCCCTAGTGATGCCTGTGCACATTTAAAGTCTGGGAAGCCCCAGGCAAGGATCGCTGCTAATGAGAGATGGTGTGGGAGTTGTGGGTCGGTCATAAATCGTCAAGTATCGAAGGAAGGGACCCGGAGTGAGGGCTGAGGCCCCAGGAGCATGGAGCTGGATGAGCCAGCATGGCATGGGGTCCCCAGGCCGGTCTGCTGCTCTCAGCCCCAGCCCACACGCCCTTTGTGTGCATGGCACCAGGCCTCCCCCGCTGCACCCCGCCATAGCAAGCTGTCCGTGCCAGGGACCACCCCCCACCACACCCCCGGTGCTGGCATGCCCTCCCCCTCTGACAAGGGTCTCAGATTAAAGATGTTTGAGGCACATCCACTGGGGTGTTGAGCTGGATCCTCCAAGTAACA